AGCTGACAAGACAAAAGGAAATGAAGGAGGTAACAATTTGGAAAAACATTTCAAAATATAAAAAAATATTATAATTAACGTACAACTATTTATATGATAAATCTCTTGGCATGCAGATAATACTCATCCAAGCTTTAGTTTAGGTCTCAGTTAACATTCATATCAAACTTCAAGTAAAAAATCTAATGAATCTTCACCAAAAAAACCACTTACAAAGAAACAAATCAAAGACGGCCATCAGAGGGTTGTGATCAGATTAGCAAACAAAAATGTTCTTAATCCTAATCCAATATTTGTAGCAATTCCTACAGAGGTAGGACCATCAAAGCATGATCTGGATGAACCAAGAGAGAAGAAGCTTGTCGATGCTTTCAAATCACCTTACAAGTGTAGGATAATAGACACAAAACCTAAGATGGCTCATCAGGAGAGTATTGTCTGTGAGTGGTTTTCCAACTTGCATGGGAATACATTGTAAGTAACTTTATTTTGTAGACATTCATATATGATTATTATGTAGATAATAATGTATGACATTTTGATTATATATTTGCAGAGATGTGGTTGTCCAGACAAAATATGGTCAGATAACAGAAAGAGCAATTATGGAAAGTCTATATGCAAGCACATAGAGTTTTGGAGAAGTTTTAGACACTTGGGCTGATTTACTTAACCACCAAGAACTGGGAAGGGATTTAGAAAATTCACCATACTGAATCTTCTTGAAAATTAGAGTTTATGTAAGTTTATGTTCTAACCTTAATTTCTTCTTTATTGATAAATGAATACACCAATATGATGTATTCATTTATGAATATTATATTTATTTACAACTGAAATTCATATATGATTATACGAATATGATGTATTCTTTAAGATAATTATGTATATTCAACTAAAATTCACATATGATTATGTATTCATCTTTGAATATAAAAATCGAATATAAATATCTTTAGTATATACTTATGATTATTATACCAACATGATGTATTCATTTATGATTAACAACTTACTAATCCTTTAAAATTATATTGGTTACAGACTGCTTATGTATCTTCAACATTGTCTGATGAAAGAAAGTATGAAAATTTCAAGGAGAGCTTTCATGACAGTACTAATGGGTACAAAAAATCTTGAACATAAAAGATATTGACATGGTATGTTAATTAAATTTGTTTATATATATATTTTATCAACAAAATATTTACCATTATATACATAAAAACTGGTATTCTTTCCAGTTGTTAGAAGTGCTCACATTTATGTGATTGTCTTCAACTTAAAGAAACCATCAATTGAAATTCTGGACAATAGTGAAGTTGAGGGGGATTATGAAGGGAAATATGGAGTAGTATTGAAACCTTTGGTATGTACCCAATTCACAACAACATATAAGAACCAATTTATTACATATCTAACTTTTATTTTATTTAATGATCATAAAAATTTGTTTGTGAGATACTTTAAAGAAATAAACCATCTAAGAGCCAATTCCATCTCAAAAGAAAGTATCACACCCCCAACGACTTGAAATTCCATGGAGAACAGTTAAAACAAAGTTGATTTTGGGGTCTTTGCAATAAGACATATGGAGACCTATATGGGACAACCGATTTCAAAGTGGAAACCAGGTCTTCATAAAGAAAGTGCAATTCAACAACCTACTTTAGAGAAGCTCAGGTAAAGGTATGCACACCGAATGCTAACTTCTAAAATTAACATGTTGAAGGCGAAGGTGTTGGATCTTGTTGAAAAATATCAAAATGTTGAATTCAAAGTGCATACCGCTCATTCATACAAGGCTATGCAAACAATTCAAAAAAGGTTAAAAGAATATTGATGATTGTTTGTGATGAAGTGTGATGGTGTAGAAAAGTTTTTGTTGAAGTTGAATGAATTTGGAGGACATGTAAGATGGTTATGTGAAACAAGTTTTAGATCGTTTGCTAAATGTTATTGAACATCGTTTAAATAGTTTGTGAAATGCTTATGAACTGGTTTTATTATTTTGTGTTGAATGATTATGTAATAGACACAAATATGCTTATTTCTGTTAGTTTTTTATATTCAAATATTTTCAAAATTTATTTATGTTTATTCATAAATGAATACCAATATGATATATTCATTTATCATTAAGTTATGAGTAATATGTCAGTATAAGAAAGTTCATATATGAATATAACAAAGTTCAGATATGAATATAACAAAATTTAGATATGAATATAACAAAGTTCAGATATGAATATAACTTATTTATTAGTATAACAAAGTTCACATATTTGTATTCATTTATGATGTATTCATTTATGCTAGTTTTCAATTTTATTTAAGTTTATTCATAATTGAATACCAACATGATATATTCATTTACCTTTAATATGTAAATAATAAAATCTTCAATGATAAATGTATCCACACATTTTCATTTATGAATAATATTTACAAATGTATTTCATATATAAATTTACCATATCAATATAACTTATTTAATAGCAAATTAAAAAACAAATATGATATATTCATTTTAAAAGAACATATATTTCACATATCAATATACCATAACAATATAAATATGTATTATTCATACATGAAAAATATTGTTTATGGTTATTATCTGCATATATTCATAAATGAATAAAACCAAAAAACATAAAAAAAAAACAAAAACCCTAAATGTCTTTTGTTGATTGAGCAACTGCATTTCTTACTTTTCTTAGTGGACATGTACGTAAATTCTTACTGGACATGTACGTAAATTCTTACTGGACATGTACGTAAATCGTTTTCCACATCCTGAACACATTCTATTTTCTTTTTTAGTATTTTCATATGCTACTTCACCTGCACTTGGAATTCCTTTTTTGATTCCAGAACCTTTATTGCTTTGAACTTGAGGAACATGAATAATAATCTCTTTTGGAATAGGAATAGAAACACCCATAAGCTTGCATACAACTTCACCATTCGTCTTGCATGCTTTTCAGGGCCGGTTCTGAGGATTCAAATTCCCTGGGCAAGTTGGAAAAAAAGGCCCTTAGGCCTTAACGTGTAACGAATTAAATTATATAAACTACTTTTTTTAAGACGACGATAAAGTTGATGACAATAAACATAACAAAATCATAGAATTTTAATGAGTACCTACTAACTGTTTGGACCGAAAATTTTATACTACAATTTCACTAAAAGTATAAATATTTTAATAAAACAAAAATGTTAAAGGTTAGTTATGTCATTATGAAAAAATCTACTCTTCTCCTTCAACCGTCTAACGATTCCTGTTTATAACTAGTAACAATAACTATCATAATCTTTTTGGAAGTCATTATATATTAGTGAAACAAATGGGTACATGGTGTATTAAAACTCAATAAAAATACTTAATCTTTTAAAAAAAACAACTTAATAATTTAATAAAATATTATTTGAATGAGTCTTGCAATCTTGTTATTAGTGGATGCAAAAACAAATTACAAAAAAATAAAATAAATAAAAAATAAAAAAAATTTAATGGAAGCTCACAAAGGAAGTTTAGGCCAATTAAAAAAGCATATTCTTGAACAATGACAACAATGAGATTCGAACCTGAAGTGAATGAGCATAAAGTTACAAAATAAGGGGCGCACTTACCGGTTGATCAATACAATATTTATGTTCTTATTTGAAGGATTTGTAATTTATACAAATATTAAATAGATAATATGGCTAAATCTCGGGCCCTATTTTTTTCGGGGCCCTGTGTGGCCGCACGCCTCGCCCCCCCTCAAATCCGGCCGTGATGCTTTTCAATACAACAGATGTATAATCACTCTCACACTCAAATTCCTTCAACAACATCTGTTGTTTCTCAGCAAACAAAGTCAATTTCTTTTTGTCATCTCTTACAATATCCAAACATGATTCAAAACTATAATATGAATCATTGACTAGCTTCACATACTCACAATCCCCTGAATCATATTGAAGAGAACTAAAACGATAATTTCTTGATACCACATCCTTTCTCCATCTTTTCAGAATGTACCTTTTAGGAATTTCTTTAACTCTCATCATTATTGTAAAAGCATGTCCGCATAAAACACCCATACGCTTGAAATGTTCAGAACTGCAATTTATTTCTTTCCCTTTAGCTTTTATTTCAACCTGATACAAAAACATAATAAAAAAAATGAAAAAACAATTTAAACAAAATTTACACATTTACATTCATATATGAATACTCATATATGAACAATCATATATAAGTATTCATATATGAATATTACATTCTAATCATATACAATAATACATATTCATATATGAATAATAATAAATAAATATTCATATATGAATAATCACATTGTAAATATTCATATAAGATATGAATCTAAATTCATATATGAAAATGTTCTAATTTTAAAATGATATGAATATTCATATATGAATATGAGAATATTCATTTTTCATAAAAAAAACTATTAAATTACCTTAAATTCATTTTTAAATTTGCTTTTACTGTTGTTGTGTTGCACAATGTAAACTTCCCACCCATCTTCAATGCCAACGTACACTATTAGAAAAACAACCTTTTACGACGCACAATGCGTGTCGTAAAACGCTCAGACGACGCGCAAATGCGTGTCAAGGAAGGCCCTGTCATAACGAGAGACGACACGCTTTTGCGCGTCGTCTATAGACGACGCGCATTTACGACACACATTTATGACACGCACTGCGTATCATTAAAGCCGCTGTCAAGAAAGGTCATATCATAAATGAAGATGACACACATTTTTGCGTATCGTAATTTTAAATTAAAAAAAATATTTATAGATTTACTAATTTTCAAATTAAATTTGCATTTCATGTCTCATAATAGAAAATAAAATACCATATACAAAAAATACAATCCATTGCACAAAAGTTAATGTCATACAAATAATCATTCCAATAATAGACAAATGTAATACATAAAATGTGAAAGAGATGAAAGTCATCAACAAATAATAGTTGAACTACAAGAACTTGTTACCCACCTTCACAACATCCCGAGCTACTTTGCTTGACACTATGCACATCAACAAGATCTACAAATTTGAATAATGGAACCATTAGATTCACATAAACCAACAAATCCCAATATGTAAAAATGAGAATAACTATACTTAGTACTTACATTTACTGCTGACACGTGGCAATCGCACCACATGAATAACAAATCACAAGCAAAAATGGTGGATTTTATTTTTGAGTATGAGTGATGCAAATTCATTAGGAACATCTACTTATTAATTTATTTAGTTCCATTTATCCTTGATGCTAGTTCTATCTAGTTTAAGTTAAGGCAGAGAAATGCTCAAAGTTGCTATTTAAATTACCTTAACATGCATAGGATGCCCGCCTCTATCAACATGATGAGGAACCGCATCGTGAAGTATGCCCAAATGTCTCAACCTGTCGCAACTTTTCTATTCAACAACAAAATTAATTCAATACATAGATTTACAAAATAATATAACAAATATACATCATCAAAATTCAGCTAGTGATCCTACTTGTGTGAAACACAGGATGTAATTTGAAGCCAAAAGTCCACAACTTGACATTTATACCCTCTCAATAGTGGGAAAAGTGATTATGATAGATGGATTTCTCAACTTTTGGCTAGCACTCCAACAGCACTATTGAAACATTATGAAAACAATTTATAATAATAATAATTAATAATGAAACTCATCTTAGAGTTCAATGATAAATGGAAATAAATAAATTAATAATGAAACTCATCTTAGAGTTCAACTTTTGGCTAGCACTCCAACAACCCTACTGAAAAATGATTCGATAAAGGTGGCTAATACCAACAACAGAAGCTTCAACAGAACCAAGTAACATGCATCTTAGAGTTCTTGGCATACAATAATCACCCTGAAATAAATATATACAAACTTAGTAAGAGAATGCCATAACTCTACAATAGAGGACCAACTAACAAAGTTGTCAGTGCTCGGTGATAAATTGCATCACCTTTGCAATAGAGGACCCTGCCCCAAATTCAATAATACTATTATTTTTACCAACTCAAAGAAGTAAACCTTAAAAAACTTAGTTCAAAGTAAAACGAATCAAATAAGGATCAGAAGTCATCAACATGTGTATCTATAGTTACGAGAGTTTACAACTTCCAAATTCAAGAATACTATTTTAACAATATATTTCTTATAATCATATTTAAAAACTGAATTCTAATAACTTTTTAAGATCAGACCTAATGCAAAACCTCCTTAGCTCAACACACTTGATATAGTTGAAATTTATCCATAATCAAAACAACTCTTAACTATTATGTTTGGTTTAAATTATTATTGATAGTATGTTTAGATACCGTGTTCAATTTACGTTACTGATCATATTGTGATTTAATATAAATGCATTTGTATTATTAATTGTAGAAAATAAACTGTAATTTATATATACATAGTCATTTGTTATGTGCTATCATTTCTATACAGAAGGGTAAAATGGTCATTTATTCAGATTCAGATAGTTCCACTAGCCCAAAAAACAGCCTTTATATATACAAGACTAATCCAGACAAACATCAATAACCGTTCAGCCACTTTATCTATACAGGACTTAATGACATATATATATATATATATATATATATATATATATATGTGTGTGTGTGTGTGTGTGTGTGTTATGCTATTTTTCAACACACAAAGATGACTTCGCTTTAGGTTGAAGGAAATGATATATCAATAATACCATCTTGACAGTTATGTCAGTTGTCTCTCTCCATCCCTCCAACCAAATTATGACAGGTGATGTAATGGTAGTCAAGGCATGTATTGTGGTGTAATCCGATGTTGCCCGTCCTGTGCCATGGGTCATATATATATATATATATTTGAGGGCATATTAGTCATTTTACATGGAATTAGCACCATAGTAGTTAAGCTAAGGATATTGAGGGAGGAAAAAAGTTAAAAATGCTTTTTTGCTTAGACCATATTCATACATTTCAACAAAGTACATGATGCATGATGCATGAGTGAGGTACAGTTACCTGTTGAGATAAGGAAGAAAGTCCAATCTTGGTTCTGGATATTGAAATAGCATCTTGTCCCCATACAGAAAAACCAGATACACCATCACTGTGGCCTTATGAATAGAATTAGAGGTGATGCCAAATTCCTGAAAAATATACATATGTAAAAAATGTTTGCTTTTTTTTTTTTGCATTTTTGCATAATTATTATTATTATATATGGTTAAGACTTAATAGAATTGTGAAGATCAGATTACTTTCTGAGGTCCCAAACTCGTAAAGTCTTGTCAAGTGAGCTAGAAACAAGCAAGTGTTCCTCTGGAGTAGCTATCTGCATGAATTGGATTTGTAACGGAAAAAAAGGTTCAATGAAAGAAATAGCAATGTGCTTCCATTGATTTGTTTACTATAGCATATTTTACTATTACATCATCGTATTTTGAAAAATCTACCCATTAAATTCAAACCAATTGTTATTGCTATTAATTAGGTTGATTTTTCAAAAATACAATGCCTTGATGAGAAAAAAGATTGGAAAGTACAATATCATATTAAAAAAGGAATTAAGGTAGGATGCTACAATAAAAAAATAAATGCTATATATAAAAGTAGATAACCTAAGCAAGCATACCTTTGTGACATATCCATCATGAGCTTGCCATGAGTTGATCAGATTTTCACTCCTAATATCAAGCAACCTGCAGTGACCAGAACTCAATCCAGCTGCAGTCCAAGACGCTCCACTAGATTGCATCTTTGAAGAACCACAACAACATATGGAAGAGATTCAAGAAAGAAAACTTTATTGAATAGAATCGCTCCTCCATAAATGAAGATTTTGACATTGTTCAACATCAATGAATCTGAATATGTTGAAAAAGAAAAAAAAGGTTTAATTTAATTTGCTTGAAATGCTGTCAGAAGAAAGTGATTTAATTATTTACCTAAGAGAAGCGTTTCTAGTGCCTGCCACAAGCCTATTTAGAGTTTGTAGGTAATGCATACAAGAAGGAGAAAAGTAAATTCATTAGCTGCAATTTTGGCATATGAGGAAGGGGTTGTGAAACTGAGAGTTAGATGCATATTTTATAAAGTCATGAAGTAATCATAGAATTAATAGCACACCTCCTCGTCCTCAACTAAAGCTTTGAAGATTACATCAATCTCACATGTGAATATCTCACAAGCAATGAAAGGATACCTAAAGGATAGAACATATATTAGTAGATATACGTAAACTTTATTCCAAATGATTTAGTAAAGGAGGACCTACTTGAATGTACGTTTGCTATCATCATCTTCTTGAGACTCTACTATGATATACTGCAATAGTTGTTCGACTTGGGCTCTGTCTCGCAAGCTAGAAAAAAGTACTCTTTTAAATAATTCAAATAGCACTCCTATTATTGTAATTATAGTTTAATATTGTGGAGTCATTATGATTTCTTGAGTGGTGGAAGTAAAGTGTATGTAGATAATAGTGATAAATCAATGAGTTAAAATTACTAGTAAAGTGTTATTACAAATTAATGAGGCGGCTATTCAATTAATGCTTTGCATTCTTGAATAATATCTTCTTCATCCAAGAGCTCTTCCAATGTGAAATTTTCCTTGTCCAAGACTGACTCAACCTAAACCACATGGCAAACTAACTGTTAGGAAAAAGTAAATAATTTATGAGTCATCTAGAAAGAAACTTATTATAATCAGATATCTTGTTATCCTCTGAATTGATGAACTGATACCACTTCCTTTCTCCTGCCAAAAACCATCACATTTACGCTGTAATGATGCCAATAGCGTACGTGAATAAGATAGCAAATTAATACCATAGCGAGATCCATACAACATTAGAACAAAAACAGATTATAACAAAAAAACATGCAAATCACTCAATACTAGTCATCAACAATTTCATTACATATGAATTCAACAAAAAGATATATATTCCATCGTAACTTACAGGTGAAGAAGCAAATAGAGCTGTAAGTTAACATAGCTATGGATCGTACCTGTAAACAATGTGAAAGAAGGGGGAGACGGAAGCGGCCGAAGGAGGAGGCTTCGTCGATGTCGTCGACTAGAGACCGGAGGCGGAGGCGTCGTCGGCTGTATCAATGACTTTATGTCGAATGAACATTCGATTCAATTTTGACTTTATGGTCAAATGAACACTCGATTTAAAGTCTCAGAATAGTGAGGCTGTTGGTGAATGGTGACCTAAAATAGTGATGTAGGTTTTGTTATCGGTGTAGTGCGACAGGAAAGAATGGTTGGAGAAGATGGTCGAAGACACTTGGCGGTGCGAGATCGGAGGTTGGGTGGTGGTGCGATGCTGCTATGAAGACGAAGGCCTAGGGCTTTTTCTTGCTAATTGGAAGAGGCGGGGGGGGGGGGGGTGCTTAATTTTTGGGATTGAATAGGCGGGTGAAATCCCGCCTTAAAACGCGTGTTTCATTAAAAAATTATAAAGCGACACACTTAGATGACACATTTTATGAAAGGCGCCCTCCACATTTTTTTTCTTTTCTGACACTAATTTTAGGGCACGCACAAATGCGTGTCCTCTATCCTTTAAATTTTGCAAAACTGACATTATTTTTTGGGGCACGCGCAAATGCGTGTCCTCTATCAGCGCGTGTCATTGTTTGCGCGTCATTAAAGGGCTGTTTTCTAGTAGTGATGTACAAAAAAATTTTGCTTTATATATTTCCATTTGCACCTCAAAAAATAATGTACTTGTATAAACCTTTGATGCTTATAGTTCTATTTCTCAAGGTTTTTGCATTTTATATGATGCTTTCTTTGATGCCTTATCAAGCTCTCATTGAGTATTCCTTTGCTTTTGAATGGCAATGTCGTAATTCATCATGAAATTCAAATGTAAATTACCACTTTCTGAGTAGGTATTAAAGAATGAATTCATACTCTCTGACCTCGACGTAGTCTTCATCAACCCACACATTGCAATATCATTAAAATATCCAGGTATCCATGAATCACGTTTTGAAAACATGTCTTTAAACCATCTCGTGTCTTCCGGATTGAATTCCTTCATAAGCAAACCCCACTTCACCTCAAAGACATCATGTTTCATATTAATGTCCCAAACAAGCTTCGAGAATCTTTTTCTAAAGTTTGTGTTCGTAAATAAATCATCTGTATCTGTATTAAAACAAAAATAAAAAAAAAACTCCTATATTTATTCATAAATGAATAAATATTAGTAAGTAAAATAACAATAAATATTCATAAATGAATATACTAATATCTGAAAAACTTACTATATTCATCTATGAATAACTAAATACTATCCAACATATTTGAAATATATTAAAATAATACATTGTTTTTCAACTTCTTCATTATATGCTACATACATAATCGGTGCTTTGAATTAGGAAACACATTCTCAATAACTTGTTTTATTGCAGCATCTTGATCGGTTAAAACAAGTGTTGGTTCTTTCCCATGAGTTTTAAGAAACACTTTAAGCAACCAAGAGTAGGACTCAATGCTTTCATTGCTTAACAACTCCGCTCCAATAGTAACTGTTTTTTATGATGGTCAATAGCAGTAAACGGAACAAAAACCATTCGATACCTAACACACACAAAAAAAAATGTTCATTAAAATATTCATGTATAAATACAGTTACGGTATATTATTTGAATAATTTCAACAATAAAAACTGAACATTAAACATAAAGTTAAAATATTCATATATGAATAAGCTATAAAAAGTAGATAGAGTAACTTACTTGTTTGTTCGGAAAGTCGCATCAAACGAGATAACATCACCAAATTCAGCATAATATGCCTTCTTCATTTCATCAGCCCAAAACATAGAGTCCAGAACATCATCTTGACAATTAAACTCAAATGAGTAATTTGGATTGTGAGCTCGACAGTCATTCATTGTGTTTACTATCATTTGGGCATCTTTATAACCTATAACCCTGTTGATATCTCTCCTTAAATTTTAATAGTCAACTACTTTGGGCTTTACAAACTCATACCCACCTCTCAGACTTGCCCTCAACTTATGAGCCATAGTTGGATCTATTTTTGATGTGGAAGCACGCACTATAAACTGTTTTTCTGAATATGACATTTGCCTCGCTTCTTTTAAATCACTTATCTTCTCAAGTGGATGGTTGTGAAATTCATCAACTTGAAAAACTATATAATATGGAGTTCCATACACAAATTAAAATATAATCTTTTCTTGACAACCAACAACTCTTGAATTTGAATTTCGTTTCCTCCTAACACCACTTGTACCTAATGTGTCACAAGATTTCTTTTTCTGTTTGCCACCACGATTACATATAACATGTTTCTTCTTTAAAATCTTGTTATCAAACCTTGAGTGTGTACTCAGTCTCACATCAAAACCACCAATTTCAGCATACTCCGAATACATTTTGATGGCCAACTTTAATGATTTGAAGATTAAACCTTTAAATGGAATAGGTTGAACAGGTACATCTGGCTTATAGACATGTTCTCCAATTACATCACCACAATGTTGTGCATCATCTGCTGAACTCGAAGATTCACCAGCTAAAAAATTATAAATCTAAATCAATCTAATAATGCATGAATAAAACAATCATATATGAATAAAACAATCATATATGAATACATGAAATTCATATGAATAAAACAAAAAAAATGTTTATTAATGTATTAATAAAACATTCATATATGAATACATAAAATTCATGACGATTCAAAATATATAAAATAAACATAACTTATTCATATATGAATAAAATGAAAATAATAATAAATTCGAAATTACAATTATCACACGTTTATTCATATATGAATAAGACAACAATTTATTCATATTAACATATTCATATGTCAATACATGATAATCAACAAAATTAAAAACAACAAAATAATTCAATAAGTGATACCTTCAAAAAATGAGCTCGTAACATCTTCTTCTTCACTCTCACACATAGAAGAATACAAATCACCATCAATAACACTGGAATTTGAGATAATAAACCAAATGATCTGTATAAAAAGAACAAAAACAATCTTAATACCGATGCAAATCATGATAAAATATAATCGAAACTGAACGACAACAAAATTAAAAAAAAAACACAAAAAAGTCGTAAATATGAAAACCTGATTAATTTCAAATATATCTCACCTCAGCATACAAAATATCTGAAATAAACTTAAATCAGCTCAATCAGATGATGCAATTAAGCAATCTCTCTCAGTTCAGAGCATAAAAACTACAACGATATATCCGATTGAAACTTAAATCATCACTGATTTGAAATAGAGATCTCAAACTACAGAACAAAAATCCGATGAAACAACTCCAATCCAGATTCGAAACTTCAGGATAAACGGAAATAATGCTCGTAATTCCTAACAAATTATATAAAACAATAATCTTGATAATGAACTCCGATATATCCGATTCAAACGATATACAGACCTGATCAAATCGAAAAATGAATACGAAGAAGAAAACTGAAATACAGATGCGAAACTTCACGATTAATGGAAAAAATGCGTATAATTGCTAAGGAGTTATATAAAGAAAAGCATCTTGACAATAAATTCCTCCATATCCGATTCAAACGAGCTAAAGATATCATCAAATCGAAAACTGATTACAACAAACAGGTAAGTTCAATATAAAAATGTGGCTAATTTACAAATATACCCTTAATGAAAAATGGCACGCACATTTGTTTAAGGTTTACATGTTAGATAAAT